CATCAATTCATTCAACAATACTGTTTCTTATTACATGTAGTTCAATGTTTTCCTGTGTAATGTGTAATTTATTACAATAAATACACTTATGCAACCCCATTTTTTTACACCTGTTTTTAATCTGGACATCACGTCTGGTTTATGGGGATAATTGTTTATCTCGTGCACAAATAGCCGCTTGGTTACATACACTTGGCCCTGGAAACCTCACACGGGAACACGGACAAGTTGCAACAAGTACCCAACCACATAAGCCCTACCGCCCAGTACATGGGATATTGTTCATTGTTTGGCAAGTACTTGGGACATTATATGTTTAGTGAGGCCAGTACCTGGGACAGTGTTAGTCAAGAGCAAAAGCTGGGAGTAATCTTCCTCAACCTCATCCACCACACAGCTACAATGAGACCAAAACAGCGCTAAAGCAGTCTTTCAAGCGGGAGTGGAGAAGGCAGAATGGAGATTACAGACCAGAGTGACAGCATAAACACACTCAACAGGAAAGAACAAACAAAAATTTTTAGACTTCGGACTGAACACTGAGGTCTTCGAGCACACCTGTACAGGATAGGCATAAAAGAATCTGCTGCCTGTGATTGTGGAGCAGAAAGACAGACCCCTGGGCACATACTACAGTACTGCCTTTACATCTCCCAGCAAAGACTGTGGATCTGGCCCAAGGGAGCCACATTGAAAGAAAAGCTATGGGGGACCGGTGGTGACCTTAAACGCACAATCCTATTTGTGACCCAGACGGGACTCAATGTTTAGCATGACTGATGTCGAACGCAGAAGAAGAAGAAGTTAGTCAAGAAATGTTAGGAATTTCTGCAGAAGTGTTCAAATCGGACACTTCCTAAAGGTTACTGGCCAGTTTGGGAATGTGTGCCGAAATCCTTGAACCGGGCGCTTCCGGTAGGGACTAGGGGACACAACTAAGGCAAACGGCTAAACGTGGTGAGTGGTGAGATTGGTGAGATGTTTTTGTTGTTTTCCTTGAATTGTTTTATACTGCCGGACCAGTTCTTGAGACATTGTTAATGTCGTGAGGCCAGTGCCTGGAACATTGTTAGTGTCGTGAGGCCAGTACCTGGGACATTGCTAGGCACTGCTAGTACTAGTATCGTAGGCCACTATCGTGAGGCCAGTATTTGTAGTGTTCTGAGGCCAGTACCTGGGTAATTACTAATTAATATATTGTTCCGAGGCCAGTACCTAGGTAATTATTAATTAATGTTTCGAGACGAGACCAGTACCTGGGACAATGTTTTATGTTAGTGTCGAAAGGCCAGTACCTGGGACGCTGTGATTTATCATAGGCCAGTGCCTGGGGCGTTGTTGTAATTCATTGAGGCCTATGCCAGTACCTGGGACATTGTTCATTGTTAGTTGTTAGTTTGGCAAGTACATGAAACATAATATCATGTTTTAATAAGGCCAGTACCTCGGACAGTGTTAGTCATGCAAGTAGAAGTACAGTACCGGGACATTGGTAATTCATTGTTAGTGAGACCAGCACCTTGGACATTTTAAATGACTTAAATTAATATTTATTATATTATTATTATTAGTGAGGCCATTCACTACCCCAGTACCCCGGATTTTGTAAGTTTGGCGAATACCTGGGACATTCACATTGTTAAAGTTATGTTATCACAATCGACATCATAGCACATTGGGCATCTCCATGTGTGCTCAGTCCTCCGATGCAGCAGCCACTCCAAAGTACCTCAACTGATTAGTCCCATGAGGAGTTGATTATAGTTAGTATATAGTAGTATTGAAGATGGCACAGCATAGTCTTGCTTCACCAAGCTTAACTCCTCGACATGTTAGCATCAGAGATTCACCATTATCCCACAACCCAACCTAGTCCGTACTGCATTGATGATATCAGCGCTATCCATGCTTCTTCCCATTTGTATTTATGTAGACTTACTAACTGGTCAGCTCTTTCATTACCATTTACTCTTGGTGTGTAGATCCAGATGATGAAGGTAAACTGCCACTTCCAAATACCCATTCAAAGCAAAAAATAACCGGTAGCAATTTTCTGAAACATGTTCAAACTGTCTGAAATGATAATCCAGCATGTGTGGTCAATTGTTCAGCTACCCATGCGAGTGCTCTGGAATCAGTAATCTCCATGTTCATGCTTGACGTAGTTATCTGGTAGGCACTGCTATCCTCTTTTATAATTTTTTTCCCCCCATCCTTTGTGCTGTGTATGCCCATACTGATCTTGACCTGTGCTTCACGGACCCATCTGTGTAAATGATGACTCCTTCTTGGCATGAGTGCTGATCAGTCAGTGCCCTGATCTCAGTATCAAGGCACATTCATTCTGTATGAACTGATATTTCTTGTTCTGTGTATGGGCACATTCATTCTGTATGAACTGATATTTCTTGTTCTGTGTATGGGCACATTCATTCTGTATGAACTGATATTTCTTGTTCTGTGTATGGGCACATTCATTCTGAATGAACTAATATTTCTTGTTCTGTGTATGGGCACATTCATTCTGAATGAACTAATATTTCTTGTTCTGTGTATGGGCACATTTATTCTGAATGAACTAATATTTCTTGTTCTGTGTATGGGCACATTCATTCTGAATGAACTAATATTTCTTGTTCTGTGTATGGGCACATTCATTCTGTATGAACTGATATTTCTTGTTGTGTATGGGCACATTCATTCTGAATGAACTAATATTTCTTGTTCTGTGTATGGGCACATTCATTCTGAATGAACTAATATTTCTTGTTCTGTGTATGGGCACTTTCATTCTGAATGAACTAATATTTCTTGTTCTGTGTATGGGCACATTCATTCTGAATGAACTAATATTTCTTGTTCTGTGTATGAGCACATTCATTCTGAATGAACTAATATTTCTTGTTCTGTGTATGGGCACATTCATTCTGAATGAACTAATATTTCTTGTTCTGTGTATGGGCACTTTCATTCTGAATGAACTAATATTTCTTGTTCTGTGTATGGGCACATTCATTCTGAATGAACTAATATTTCTTGTTCTGTGAGAAAATGACAGACCTATAATCACCCTATATTCCAATCTGATGTATAAATGAAAAGAACCCAATAGCATGTTGTATGGATGTCCTGACTATTTATATAATGTTAGTGGCATGGTGATATCCTCACAGACATGAGTGAAAGTCAAGGTCGTTGTGATGTGTATAAAAAGTTACTCTGTACCTCACTTCGGGCGCCAGCCGGCTCTGGAATGGTCGCAGGCTAGACAAGCAACATCTCTTGCGGGTGGTAACTCGCATAACAGAACTGTCTCCATAATCCCTCTCTGTTCCTCATTGTCAGTGTCATCACTTTGTGGTACACCACAGCAATCTGCCACTATCATTATGCTGATTTGGCACGAATGACAGCCTGATACATCTTCTATCTCACAGAAACAAAGGTCCCAATTGTCTGACCCACCAAAAAATCCTATTAATAGGCAGAAAAGTTCATATGCCCATTACCTTTGGCCCCACTCACCAGAACGGGGGGACTTTCAAAGGATAGCCATGCCGAATGCATCTTTGCCATTCTATCAAAGTTTCCAGATGAAACAATGTTTAAGCTATCTAACGTGTCAGAAGAAAAATGCATTTGTGTGTGTTTGTGTGCGTGACCATCAAAGTCTTGGACCTGTGGGCTGCTCCCTGCTAATTTTTGAAGTGGGAAAACAGCCCATGACGACTGGAAAGCTCAACATACAGATGAGGTGTGGAACAGTCATGTGCAGGCTCTGGCGATTACTTGGGTGAGCCCAGACCAGAGCATCATGTGTCGGCTCTAAATTAATGAAAGCCTCCTTGGATGGTGGGGAATACCTGAGATTTGCCCCTGCCTTCATGCTGGCCCCCTCCCCAACAGCCCTGACTAAGTGCTAGAGAACAAACTTTATTTTCTAAGGGTTACAAATTTGGCACGCAGGCCCTTCTAAGCAATCATTTTTCAGAGTACCAATGCTTGTTATCAATAATGCATGTTATGGATATAATAAAGAAGTATGCATTATATAATAATGCATACACACATCATGTGTACACAATCTTACACACTCACACACACGTATATATACTCTTACATTCTCATACATGCACATTCATATACATACATACACGCATCTACATACATACACAAACAGAAAAGACACACACATACACATATTGACATACATGCACGCACACACATCCATTCCATACATACACACCTACACGTGCGTGCATGCATGCATACACACATACAATCACATGTGCAGACACCCACATATGCCCACAACCACACATTTACACTTACGTGCATATATACATACATACATACACATACATGCATACATACACACATCTATACATACACCTACATCTTTACATACATACATAGAGCCTCCACCAAGGAGAGCTGCTCGAAGCCACTAAATTTGGTGCTGTTGACATAATGGCACAAAGAAACCAGACCACAAATATAACTGATACTGCTCACAGTAGGTTGAATGGGGTCAGTTTTTTTGTTTTATTTAAATGGATGGATTAATGGCCAACCTGTCTACACACAGATGCCCTGGATAAGGGTCAACGCTTGTAGATATGTAAAGGGACAAAGAGAACACCACACCAACAAGGCCACAACATGTCCCTGTCCCACAAAACTCTGTCTGGTGAACAAATGCTTGATGAAATTGGATGATTTACTGAAAGGTCATTTATTTCACTCGGACGAACGAACAGAAGAAAATATCATGTGTGGGTGCTCTGACCATTTATATCATGTTGGATTTGATGGCCATTTTTGTTGTGTTGTATGAATTTCTGGACACTTTTTAATTGTTTTATATTGTACCAGTGTCCTGACAATTTTTGTTGTGTTGTATGAATTTCTGGACACTTTTTAATTGTTTTTATATTGTACGAGTGCCCTGACAATTTTTTGTGGCAGTTTGTATCATCCCATCTGAAATAGTGAAAACAATGGGACGATATCGAAGAAAGAAGATGCATAAAGGGGACAAGCCATTAAAGGAAAAATATCGCACAAAGCGGAGGACTCGAGATCTGGATCTCATCCATGATGACATGAAGGTGCCGAGTTCACTCCTCAAACAACAGGTGGATCTGGATAAACCAGGTGCTGCCCAGTTTTACTGCCTCCACTGCGCGTAAGTTATAGCCTGTTGGTTTTAAAAAAAAAAATATAAAGTCTGCCTAGTGTTGTTATGTGTAAGTTACAGTCTGTCCATTATTGTTACCTGTAAGTTACAGCCTGTCCATTATTGTTATCTGTAAGTTATAGCCTGTCCATTATTGTTACCTGTAAGTTACATCCTGTCCATTATTGTTACCTGTAAGTTATAGCCTGTCCATTGTTGTTACCTGTAAGTTACAGCCTGTTCATTATTGTTATCTGTAAGTTATAGCCTGTCCATTATTGTTACTTATAAGGTATAGCCTAACCATTACTGTTACCTGTAAGTTATTATATTATACCTGTTCATTATTGTTATATGTAAATTACAGCCTATCCCTTATTGTTACATTTTATGTCAGTCAGTATTGAATGTATTGTATAGAGAATAAGGACCTATAGTAGGTCTGTATAGAATGTATTATATAGAGAATAAGAACCTATAGTAGGTCTGTATAGAATGTATTATATAGAGAATAAGAACCTATAGTAGGTCTGTATAGAATGTATTATATAGAGAATAAGGACCTATAGTAGGTCTGTATAGAATGTATTATATAGAGAATAAGAACCTATAGTAGGTCTGTATAGAATGTATTATATAGAGAATAAGAACCTATAGTAGGTCTGTATAGAATGTATTATATAGAGAATAAGGACCTATAGTAGGTCTGTATAGAATGTATTATATAGAGAATAAGGACCTATAGTAGGTCTGTATAGAATGTATTATATAGAGAATAAGAACCTATAGTAGGTCTGTATAGAATGTATTATATAGAGAATAAGGACCTATAGTAGGTCTGTATAGAATGTATTATATAGAGAATAAGGACCTATAGTAGGTCTGTATAGAATGTATTATATAGAGAATAAGGACCTATAGTAGGTCTGTATAGAATGTATTATATAGAGAATAAGGACCTATAGTAGGTCTGTATAGAATGTATTATATAGAGAATAAGAACCTATAGTAGGTCTGTATAGAATGTATTATATAGAGAATAAGGACCTATAGTAGGTCTGTATAGAATGTATTATATAGAGAATAAGGACCTATAGTAGGTCTGTATAGAATGTATTATATAGAGAATAAGAACCTATAGTAGGTCTGTATAGAATGTATTATATAGAGAATAAGAACCTATAGTAGGTCTGTATAGAATGTATTATATAGAGAATAAGAACCTATAGTAGGTCTGTATAGAATGTATTATATAGAGAATAAGAACCTATAGTAGGTCTGTATAGAATGTATTATATAGAGAATAAGAACCTATAGTAGGTCTGTATAGAATGTATTATATAGAGAATAAGAACCTATAGTAGGTCTGTATAGAATGTATTATATAGAGAATAAGAACCTTTAGTCAGTCAGTATTGCGTGTATTGTATAGAGAATAAGGACTTATGGGCAGTCAGTATAGAATGTATTATAAAGAGAATAAGGACATAGTCAGTCAGTATAGATCATTCTCTTGATCAGAAATTCTAAGATTAGTGTAGCATGTATTATAGGAGAATGTTTTGTATTTTCAGGAAGTACTTCATCGACAACAAGGCTTTAACTGGTCATTTTAGGACTAAACCCCACAAAAGAAGGTTAGTTCTGTCACGCTTCTGTTTGTAAGCTTACCCGTGTAGTGATGATAAGTCTGTTCATACAGCCATGACTTCACCAGTGTTGCGATTATAAGTATTCACACATACAAGACCTCATCAGTGTAGCTATTATAGGTCTGTTGTCATACAGACAGGAGGTCAACAGTAATCAGTGAAAGTTGAAGGTATACAATTGTCATGATAACTTGACTCCATAGCAGCAGTGTCCCAGTGAAATCTTTCACCTTGATGACCATTGACAGCTCTACAGTGTGACCCAAAGAAATCCAGAAAATGAATTTTCAGAAACATGTTGCAGCCAAGACTCTTTCCAGAAGAAGAGTTTCTACAATCTTATTGTAATAATCTGTTGTTTCTGAGAGAAATACCCACCACTGACTTAAATGTTAGCTATGCTGCTTTTTCCTTGCCAGGCAACATGCAAAGAAACTTGCCATCATGAGAAAATGTCACCCTCTTTGAAATGAATGTAGTAAGAGTCTTCTGCTACTACCACTCCATAATGCCTAGTTTTCCATCGGGCACATTTTTAAATAAAATAGCATCCAAAAATGCTTCAGATTACCTTTGGCCATTGCTTCGATATCAAAAATATGTATATAACTCCTATACACACAGTCAGAATCTATTTAAATATGATTTCAGCACAGACTGTAGTATGCCCACATTAAAAATTAAAGTCTTATGCATATAATGTCCACATTCAAGATAAAAGTGTTATGCATATAATGCCCACATTAAAGATAAAAGTGTTATGCATATAATGCCCACGTTAAAGATAAAAGTGTTATGCATATAATGCCCACGTTAAAGATAAAAGTGTTATGCATATAATGTCCACGTTAAAGATAAAAGTGTTATGCATATAATGCCCACATTAAAGATAAAAGTGTTATGCATATAATGTCCACATTAAAGATAAAAGTCTTATGCATATAATGCCCACCTCGCCCAGATTTATAACACTTTCTATACTTAGTATTACTACTATTGAAAAATGGCAGTTTAATGACAGCATTTTGGAAAAATTAAAAGATGCTATTGATAAAATGCTAAGAGATGAGCAGGCAGGTTTTCAGTCAAATAGATCCTGTACTGATCAGATAGCCACATTACATATTATAATAGAGCAAAGCATTGAACTGAACTCACCACTTTACATTGGATTTATAGACTATGAAAAAGCATTTGACAGCATTGATAGGGAATCTCTCTGGAAATTGATGGGGCACTATGGAATCCCACAGCAAATTATCAACTTAGTAAAGGCAACATATAAAGACATGAAATGTCGAGTTCTTCGTGAGGGAAAGCTAACAGATGCATTTGAAATAAAAACAGGTGTGCGACAGGGATGTCTTTTGTCGCCTCTCCTATTTTTACTGGCTATAGACTGGACTATGAAAACAGTAACTGCTAACACCAAGAATGGAATTCAGTGGACCCCTACAAAACAGCTTGATGATCTGGACTTCGCTGATGATAATGCCCTTCTGTCCCATTCACGGAATCAGATACAAGATAAATTAAATATACTTAATGCGAGATCACAGCAGCTTGGTCTGAAAATCCATAATGGAAAGACAAAGATAATGAGAATAAATCAGGCAAATAGTGATGTGGTTTCTCTTAATGGCACCCCACTCCAAGACGTGGAGTCGTACACCTATTTAGGCAGTAATGTAGATAAAGATGGAGGAACTGATAGAGATATTAAAATAAGAATACAAAAGGCAAGAGGGGCTTTCATAGCACTAGGGAATTTGTGAAGGTCAAAAGAAATTAAAAGAAATACTAAACTAAAAATTTTTAATTCTAATGTCAAATCAGTACTATTGTGTGGGGCGGAAACATGGAGAACAACGAAGGCAATTACTAATAAATTACAGACATTCATTAACTGGTGCCTGGGCAGAATAGAGGGAATAAAATGGTATGATAGAATAACTAATGTAGAACTTTGGGAGAGAACTAAACAGGCTCCAGTGGATCAGGAGGTGAGGAAAAGACGCTGGCGTTGGATAGGGCACACACCGAGAAAACAGGAGAACAGCATAACAAATGTCTTTGCATTGGAACCCACAGGGGCATAGGAATAAAGGAAGACCAAAAAACACATGGAGAAGAGAGCTGGAGAATGAGGTTAGAAAGATTGGGAGGACATGGGGAGAGCTCCATGTAATGGCGAAGGATAGAACGACTTGGCGTGAGTTGGTTGAGGGCCTATGCTCCATTGGGGGATAGAAAGGCAGAAGAAGAAGAAGAATATCCCAACAATTGTGATGAGGAATTACTTTTGTGCTATCTAATATGTGAATTGAATAATGTATATAAGGAGTGAGGGCAGAATGTAAGACGGGCCTGTGTGCCAGTTTTTAACCTTATATAAAGTTTGTTCTGTACACAGAAATTCTGAGCTGTGACTCAGGTTTACAGTTGGGATTGTTGGCAAACACCCCCCAATCCCAGATGAAGCTGGTACCTACGATGGCATGGTAGTGCCCACAGTGGGCGACACTGGTCTGACCAAGTTGACACATCAAAGATAAGATGTAAAGTGGTTACATCAACAGTATTCATCAAAGATAAGATGTAAAGTGGTTACATCAACAGTATTCATCAAAGATAAGATGTAAAGTGGTTACATCAACAGTATTCATCAAAGATAAGATGTAAGTGGTTACATCAACATTATTCATCAAAGATAAGATGTAAAGTGGTTACATCAACAGTATTCATCAAAGATAAGATGTAAAGTGGTTAAATCAACAGTATTCATCAAAGATAAGATGTAAAGTGGTTACATCAACAGTAGACATCAAAGATAAGATGTAAAGTGGTTACATCAACAGTAGACATTGTAGTGTATGTGTCTGATTGTGCACGGATCACAACATTTGCCATATGGCCGGTGATGTGTTAATCGCATGTATTGTTGAACCTGAAACCCCAGTTGTGACAATGTTTCTGTTAAACAATTTCAGATTGAAAGCTTTAGAGGTGGAGCCCTACAGCCAGGCCGAGGCCAACAGAGCTGCAGGCATGGGTTCCTATGTAGCCCCAAAACAAGTGTCCGTGATACCTCAAGAGAAGATGATTGTGGCTGGGAATGAGGACACATCTATGAAATAAACTCATCGTAGACTGTCACCTATGTTTGTCGTGTTCATTATATGTTGTTGCTTTGTCTGTCAAATGTAGATGTCACAAGACACTGAAGATGTGTTGCTGTTGTAGATGTCACAAGACAGTGAAGGTATGTGTACTGTTTAAAAAAAAAACACCTGCTAGTTATCCGATGGTACATTTGTGTAAAGTCATTAAAATATCATACTTGGGTGTGTGTGAAGAGCAGACTCAGATATTGTTTACCATGTCCAGTGGACATGTGGGCGTTGAATGCATGGTTTTTTTTATTGCTACAACGCAAGGGTCAGTTGTGGTTAAGACCTTTTTTGTGAGCATAACTCATGATGCAGGCATGAGAAAACAACCAATTTTGGGGTGAACACTATTCACTACCTGTGCAACTGAAACCCTATAAAAGGATAATGCCACATCAAAAAATGCAGTTCATTTTCAAGCAGTCACGAATGGTGCCTCTATCGATTAAGGAATATTGCTATTGACCGATTGCAGGCAGGAGAAAGTCAGGTTGCCGGGCATCTAAACATGTATCAGGCATTACCTCCAGGACGTCGTGTGTCTAAACAAACTGTTTGGTACCGACTTGATTAATTTACTTATTGCATTACAAAGATGCAGAATATCGTTTGTGAGTATGAATGTTCCTTTCAGTAGTTGTGCGTGTTTTTTTTTCGGACAGTGTAGTTGGTGCAGATTACAGTGAAGGTGTATAATTGGTGTAGATGTCACAGGATAGTGAGGGTGTGTAATGGTGTAGATATCACAGGACAGTGAAGGTGTGTAATTGGTGTAGATGTCACAGGATAGTGAGGGTGTGTAATGGTGTAGATGTCACAGGCCAGTGAAGGTGTGTAATTGGTGTAGATGTCACAGGACAGTGAAGGTGTGTAATTGGTGTAGATGTCACAGGACAGTGAAGGTGTGTAATTGGTGTAGATGTCACAGGATAGTGAGGGTGTGTAATGGTGTAGATATCACAGGATAGTGAGGGTGTGTAATGGTGTAGATATCACAGGATAGTGAGGGTGTGTAATGGTGTAGATATCACAGGATAGTGAGGGTGTGTAATGTTGTAGATATCACAGGATAGTGAGGGTGTGTAATGGTGTAGATATCACAGGACAGTGAGGGTGTGTAATGGTGTAGATATCACAGGACAGTGAGGGTGTGTAATGTTGTAGATGTCACAGGATAGTGAGGGTGTGTAATGGTGTAGATGTCACAGGATAGTGAGGGTGTGTAATGGTGTGGATGTCACAGGATAGTGAGGGTGTGTAACTGGTGTAGATCTCACAGGATAGTGAGGGTGTGTAATGGTGTAGATGTCACAGGACAGTGAGGGTGTGTAATGGTGTAGATGTCACAGGAAAGTGAGGGTGTGTAACTGGTGTAGATGTCAGAGAACAAATACCAAAATCAGTGGTAACTAAATGAGAACATCTTCTTCCATTTGTGACATGAACCAGTACATTCCCTTCCATTATTTCCATTATTTACAAGAAGAAGTGCATCTTCAATAATTAACAAGAAATAGCATCTTCCATTAACATGGAAAATTACATATTTCCTTATTGACATGAACATCTCACATTTATTGACATGAACAAATACATCTCACATTTATTGACATGAACATCTCACATTTATTGACATGAACATCTCACATTTATTGACATGAACAAATACATCTCACATTTATTGACATGAACAAATACATCTCACATTTATTGACATGAACAAATACATCTCACATTTATTGACATGAACATCTCACATTTATTTACGTGATATTTATTGACGCGAACAAGACCTCCTATTATGTCAAGAACCTACTTTACTGCCGTGAAGGCATAAAGCTCGTGACAGAAATGTCTATCTCTAATACAACTAGACCAACGCCGTCGGAGCAGACACATACATCTTTATTATAATTTCCCAAAAGCAGTTTACCTTGGCGAAAGTGGTTCGCGTTACCAGATCATTACTACACCTGACCCTCCTGGCCTTACTGTTATAGTCCGGGTCCGAACCAAACAGTCTTCCTTACAAGTTCTTTCCGAAATTTCTGCACCTTACAGTAAGACCGCTATGCCACCGCACGGTTGGTATAAGTGGACAGAGCTTGTCACATAACCCGACAAGACCCTGCGGAAAGCCACTTTCGCTAAAGCAATGTTTGACACACAAATGGATAGCTACATAACACAGCAGCTAAACACTAGAATTATCCTACCGCCCAAAGTCTCGCTCAGATCTGCCCAAAACGCGTTCCCGGTCGTTTTTGTCTAGCCTCCACTCTCACCCTGGTCAGTCAGAACCCCGTTAACTCGCGAGTGACTTGATTCCCTGGTCACTATTCTCTTGGCCGTCGTTGTATGTCTCTAAACGTCCGGTCAGGTCGCGATCAAATGAGTACTACCCTGCTTATTAATCATCATCACTCTTAATCTCCTAGCTGCAAGGGACCCTGATACATTGACAGAAACAAGTACATCTTCTATTATTGACATGAAAAGAAAGACATCTCCTTTCATTACTGAGCACAACCTCTCCTTCCATTATTGACATAAACAAGTCCTTAATGTAATGAACAAGTACAACATCTCCTTTCATTATTGACATGAACAACTACCTTGTCCATTATTGACATAATCAGATACAACCTCTCTTTCCATTATTGACATAAACAGATACAACCTCTCCTTCCATTATTAACATGAACAGGTACATCTTTCATTATTGACATAAATACACTCTTCTTCCAATATTGATATGATTAAGCACGTATTGCAGTTTAGTTGTTCTCTGACAACTGCTGCAGTGTGTGCGATTGAGGATTGGCCAGCATGTCACTCCAGTGTCGAGTCTTGTTTCAGCAGCCAAGCACGTCTTCCACTTGGCTCAGAGTTTCATGCGGTCGTAATCGACAACTGTCGCTTTCTGCAATACCAGTGTTCTATTAGTGCCACATCACAGTACTTGTAAGTATTCTGGTTGGGCTTACACACGTTCTCATTCCATATTATAAAGATTCCAGGCTGTACTTTCCCACAATTTCACACATTATGAACATTCTTTTGTTGTACTTCCACAGTACATTTTTGATACAACCGGGTTGGTGAATATGGGAAACAGTTTCATAGGACAACTAGTTGACAGGATGAGTATTTAGATTGATAGTATGATAGCCTCCGTGTAGAACAGTTGACAATTCTTGTATGTGTACTCCTGGGTTTGCCGACGATGACTAGCAGATACAAAGTGGCACAGGTCAAGGCTTACATGAGGGTATCGGCAAACGTTAACCACCCATTGCACAAAGCTATACACGACACAAAAGTAACGCGTCTCAAAAGAGGCCGCTCTTGGATGGCAAATGCTGAGGATTTAATCCAGCAGGTATGTGACCTAGACGTGATCAGTCACGGAAAAGAATGGACGAATACACCAGCAGACATGCATGGCATCTCTAAGGTTGTCATCACACTCGGAAGATACTGACTGGATCAAATACCTGCGGCCGTAGACACAGAAGTAAGGGAACTGATAGATCAGCATTCAGACCCAGAATATATCATCATCTACACAGATGGATTCGTAAAGCACGGATCAAGGTCAGCATGGGCATACACAGCGCAAAGAAGAGGGGAAACAATACACGCGGACAGCGGCGCTTACCAGACAACCACGTCAAGCATGACAATGGAAATAGCCGCTGCTTCTAGAGCCTTAGCATGGGTATCCGAGCAAACCGTCACACAGGTAGTAATTGTCTCAGACTCAATGAATATGCTTCAGAAGATAGAAACAGGCAGTATGCGCTCTGAATAGATAGAAAGCATTCGGAAATCGCACTTAACCTCCGTAACCTGGATCTACACACCGGGTGATGCGGGCGTGAAGGGAAATGAGCGAGCGGACCAACTTGCAAGCACTGCACTAATGATTGCGGGAAAAAGCATAGACGGAGCAGATATCGTCAACGCTGTACGAACTGGGCTAGTGGAGAATGAGGAATTCCTGACACTAACACGACTGCGTGACATGGGAGTTAAGCATGGTGATGAACGTCTTTGCCGTCTTCGAGGCCGAGAAAGGAGACAATATAACCAGCGTCTCATGGGGACAATTAGTAGAAGTACTTTGGAGTGGCTGCTGCTTCGGAGAACTGAGCACGCATGGGTATGTCCAATGTGCAGTGACATTAATTGTGATAGCATAACATAAAATAACATCTTGTAGGGAGTCGGCAGTCCAAAACCCAAGTTCAAGGTGTCTCCTTTGTGCCAAAGAACTGCATGGCTGTTGGGTGAACAGTCGTTAATCGAAGGCAGGCAGGTCGTTGTAGGGGCGACGCCTGCTGGTGGATGTAATGTCTTAAGTCCCTTCCCCAGCTAATGAGGGTACTGCTGGGGTGACCGTTTATTAACCCTCATATAATGCTTCAGGTCAAAATGGACGCTAGGCACGGCAAACTTTTTTTCTTCTTTTTAGCCGTGGCAAATGTTTTTTTTTTTTTTCTTTTTTCTGTCAGACGGTGGCAGTTGCATTTTTGCTCCATTTGTAGACTGGAAGGATATAGTTTCGTCGCCCAGCTTCTGAGTTGAGTGCATGGCGTAACACTGTTAGCTACGTGTCTTTTTCGTTGGCACAGGAGCGGAGTAACTATGGGGTGACCCGTTTGCTGTGAAGCTGAAACTAGGATTACCAGACCAGATTACCATTTGCAACCAGGGAAACAAGCGGTCGGACAGCTAATTAAAGGGACGATTTGTGACTTGACGATTAGACAGGCAGACTGTCTTTCGAGATCGTCCCCTTTAGACTGATAACTCGGTCATTTATGGCATAACCGGGGGAAGGGGGGTATGGGGAAACAGTTTCGTCGGACAGAATGAGTCATTAGTTAGACGAACACGGTAGCCTCCTGAAAGAACTGTTAACACGACTTGTAAATGTACAGTAAGACAAGGTCAATTATAAGT